ACGTTGTAATTGTGGTTGGCAACCTGTTTGTTGAAGGACTTCCTGGTTTGCATGTTTGGTCAGATTACTTGAGACAGGTTGGAATTAATATTGTACCACCACCATCCCCCCATGAAATAACTTAAAGAAAAACTTTACTGAGCAGGCAAGGTTCTTATATGCTGGCACTCTGAACCTTCAGCTGAAGAGTTTGCTCTTTAACACAACTAAGTAACATGCGTGCTTGTTTTCACGCTAAGAGGTGCTATCTCAGTCTTACTGGACACGTTTGAGTACTGAGCTAAGAAATAAATGCCTGCAAGATCACTCCATAATCACTGATTAACGTAGACACTCTTAGTGATTTGTTTGTGGTGTTTTGCTGAAGAGAAAAGGGATGATAGTTGGTTCTTCGTCTTTGAAAAAAATCTTGGTTATATTTTGTATATGCTAAGTGATGATTTAAAATATCTGGAAATTCCAAAATGGGCAGTTAGCTGCATAGGCAGTGAGATCCATAGGGGTGGATTCCTGATCCTGCACAGGGCGCTCACTGTTGGGTTTGGATCGTCATCTACTTTCTTTCCAGCAGAGAAAAATGCAATTATAGCTTTAAATATATTAAACTGCATTCTTAAAACAAGGCAGGTTCATGGTTAGGATCTGGTTATCTTTTGTATATGAATACACCTACATTAATTCATTGTGTTTAATCTGTGTACCAGTGGACTAGATAATCAAGTGATATGTTTCATCTACAGATCTTTTGGAAAATTCCTCTAGAAAGGCAGTGTTTCATTACTGAGGCTGACTAGCCAGAAGGATCTGCATGCTATGGCAACCACAACTGTTTCTTAGTGATAATAATAACAACTTATTCATCAATGAGGAAAAACTAAACAAAACCCAAAGCACCCTACAGCAATTTGAGGTGAAGCAACAGAGAAAGAAATCAGTGACCATAACCATCTGCAAACCATGGTTCAGAACAGTAACCTTATACTTCTTTGGAAATAAATCAGCTTTATTTGGAATAGTTCTTTTCTGCTAATCGACTGAATTCATTAAATGGCTTGAGCCTACTCACGTCTCCTGATTTTTGGCTGCCTCTGTCTCCTTTTCATCTGCAAACAATCACAGGTGACAATGTAAAAATAGAAACATCCTAAGAGATTTTTGAGATCCTGTGTTATTCTGGTGGGTATCTTTTTTCATTTCCATCCATCTGTTCATCTTTCTTTAGAACTGGATTAAGCAGCTGAACCTTTCACTGCTTTCTTTTGGGAATAGCCATATTTGATCCGATCTTTCCCCTAGTAGGTTCCCCTGCTCCTCATTTGATGGCCTTTCTGTCTCTCTGGCTTTTTTGACAATGTCCTCTCTGAGACTGGTCACACTTCCAGTAATTTTCCTCTTACTTTACCCTTTTTTTTTTTGTTGTTGGTAAACTAAACTATTGCAGGTTGTAGGTTGGTTTTAGCAAGTTCTTCATTGGTCTTGGAATTTTATGCTGTTTTTTAATTAAGCTTTATATACGCTGGTTTGCTCTTGTCTAACCAGTTTTGTTTCAGTCCCAGTTGGTCTTCCCAGATATTATCAGACTTCCAGAGCTCAAATCTAGATTTTTTTTTTTTTATTTAAGTTTTGTAAATACATGTTTAGCATTTTTAATCAGTGTGCTTATATAATAGGTTTAGCACAAGCTTAACCTAGAGGCTACCTTAAAAAAAACTAACCGTGGCTGTATTTTTAAGATCTTGTACATATTCCTGGCTTTAATCATTCCAGCAGCCAGAAGGCTTCTGGCTACATTTATAAGCATTTAATCCACACGTTTTGCTAATTGTTTATACTGTAATTTGTTCTTAGCATCTGTTTTTATTTGAGGTGTCTAAATATCTGTCCAGGCTACTGTCTGTCAGTCTCTTCAGGAGCTATTTCTGTTTCAATCCCTTTCTGAAAACTAGTGAACAATATTAAAATTATCTGCATTTTTAATGCATAGGTACCCTTTGTATACCAGAGTGGATTTAAGAACTTTGCTTAACATAGCCACGAAGCTCTAGTTTGTTTTTATTCCCCCCTTATTTTAATCTCTGTCCTGTGCAGTATTGAGTCACGCTAAAAATATCTTCATTAGACTGCCATTGATCTACAGCAGGGCACTTGGGCATGCTTCGTCTGAGTTCTGTGATAACTTTGCTTTACTTAAGTTAGTAAGTATATCAGAAATTTTAAAAAGTAATAACTTTCAAATTTTATTTTCATGTGTTCCTTTTCTAGTATTCTCAAATAATTGCATTGATTTCTCTTGTTACATTTATTTAGATTTGCCTATTAATTTTAAACTCACTTTGTTATCCTCTTGGAAATTTTATTAAGATTCCAGACTCTGTACTTAATACGTATTTTGTGATGGACTGAAGTGCATTTTTGCAGAACTACCATTTAAGAGCTCTTGAAGAATTTTAAAATCAGATTGTTATATAAAACCTCAGCTAATCTGTGTAACAGCATTTTAATGGGATATTGGGTTGGAAGAAAAATTGTTTTGGCATCTCTCTGCTTGGTAGTTTAAAACCAACCAGACACATTGGCTAGCCACACTCCTTCTTTTTGTTTTCCAGCCTTCTAAACATTTCCACATTCCATCTGTGATGTCTAGTCCATGCATGAATAAAATATGAAGTAATTTAATACCACATATTATGTCAGGGGGTTACTGTTTATTCTCAGACTTGAAATGAAACTTTTTTAGATCACATACTGAAACCTCTTGGGTTTTTGCTACTCATTCAGGGCCCTGCCTTTGAGGCCATGGAGTACAAATATGTCTCATTCTCTGTAATGTGGAGAAAAACATACTGGTTTTGTACTTTTATTTATATCATGACTGTATTCTTGGAAAGGATGTGGAGTAGGAAAAAGGAGTTAGCTCTCATTTCTCTTGTTGGATTTGGAGATGGTACAGAGCCCGTGGTCCATCCCAGGTATCAGCCTCATGGGAGCTTGCATCCAACAAGCAGCTGAGGTTGGATCACAGACAGGTAACTGGAAGTCTCTGCAGTCCTTTACTTAAAGGCTAGTAACCTTTCAGGAGGCAGGGTACAACTCAGATGAAGGCATAAGGGCAATATCTTAGTATCTTTGTTTCCTGTGCCAACACTGCAGGTTGGTATCACAAGGTCATTAGGGTTTACATGCAGTAGATACTATGCATCTATGTTTGAAGCCATGTTATTTGCTCTGCATTTGGCAGATTGCAAAGCTCTGGTTGTGCAACCATGTTCGTGGGCCAGGATGAAGAGTTTCTGGGCCCGTGTTTGAGTCTAGTGTAGGACAACTCCCTAAAATGTACTCTTACATGCTAGTCTGTCCTGTAGCATTTCCAGAAGCATTCAATGTCTGTGAAAACGTACCAGTGTGACACAGTAGTGGCATACACTCACCCTTGCACCTTGCTGTCTATGTGGTCCCTACGTCCTCCCCTCCACACATAAAGATTATAATGTCATTATATATGTCAGATTATACAGTCACCTCAGTGATTGTAGCTATTAGCATGCAGTCCATGCTCAAAATATTAAATAAATGGGTAACATTTAGTTCTAACACTGACTTCCATTTCTTGGTTTTCATCACTTTAAATAATGAAACAATGCAGTTAAAGTTAGTGTTTGACTAGTAATTACTAAACACACTTTTTCTTAAATCAGAACATAGTGCCTCTGACAGTGAAAAATGGACCCCAAACCAGCTTGTATCTATTATTTTAAGCAGCGTGACAGTTAATATATATCCTATATTTATGTGTGAATGAGATGTGAATATTAAAAAAGGTGTTAAAACAAATCATTTGGTTTCTTTATCTGTAGTGCTGTCTTCTCAGGAAAAAGGACACCATCGCTCCAGATGATGATCTGTGTTTTGTCAATTAAATTGCTGTAGGTTTCCTTGCTGAAATAATTATTTGGCAAGCCTTCCCAAACATGTCTGTGCCTTGCATTTACCTTTTCTCCCTCCTTGATTACAATTCCCTGGCCGGGACCAGATTGTTCACCAGACTACTAGACATCAGAAAACCAAAATCAGATATATCAAACTATGATACCACATTCCTGTATATGAAAATCCCTCATTCTTTTATATTAAAATGACAGACTGTAGTAAACATGCAGGAGTTGGTTTTAGTTTTTCAAATGTCCATTTTTCCAGCTTATGTTTGTATGCAGGCATTTGTTCGATATGCTGCCATACAATATTTAAGTAAATATTTTCAATAATAACTTTCCACAAGGATAGTATCTTTAGAAATCTCCTCTCTTCACTTTTCATTGTCACGTGAAAAAGAATTTGTAGGTATAGAAAAGTGTATTTGCAACTTCCTGCTGGGCTGTATGGTTTCATTTTAGTCCATGATCTGTACAAACTTCTCCTTGGAAAATTAAGAGTGTGTGATACATGCAGGATATAATGGGAGTTGTGGTTTGTAGAGAACAGAGTCTATGGAGTCATCTTACAAGTCAGTTTTATTGTGTGCATGTAACTAAAACCATCTGTGTGACTTGCTGTTAGCAATATTGTTTGGACAGCCCTAAATCAAATCCTGAATGGGCAAGATTACAGAAGGCAGGTTTATACTGGTATCCTTCAGGTTAAACCCACTGATGTCCAGTCTTTTCTTCTTCTTGGCATAAAAAGTATGAGCAAGAGGTAAGTTTGTGCTAGCTGTCCTTGTTTCACCGAGATCTATCTTCTGCAAACAGGCTTGTGTTTACAGAAACCGAAGTGAAAATAGGATACGAACAGCATAAACCTACTGCGGTCAAAATAGTTGTGCATTTGCATAACTGTGCAGTATTTAAAGGAATGGCTAGCTTGCTTTGGTACAGTTTACTACAAGCTTTTCCTTCAGAGCTTGTCCTCTTCAAGCATCTCTCAAGTGGAAATAGAAGGCTCTGATTCTAAATAGCATTGGTTTTGCTCAGTAGTAGAAAACAAGTTTAACTGTCTTGTTACAGTTTTTGATAAATGGACACTGACATGGACTACGAAAGACCCAACGTTGAAACTATCAAGTGTGTGGTGGTTGGAGATAATGCAGTGGGAAAGACTCGTCTAATTTGTGCAAGAGCATGCAATACAACCTTGACTCAGTATCAACTGCTGGCAACTCACGTACCAACTGTCTGGGCCATTGATCAGTACCGTGTCTGCCAAGAGGTAAGAACTGCAGGTGTACAAAATATGGAGCACATGCTGTGAGGTTGTACTATTATTTATTGGCAAGCCTTTCTTTGTCAGGTTGCAGCAATGAGCTCGCAAGTCTCTACTGCAGCTATGGCCTGATACGCATCTCCCTGAGTCTCTCATTCCAAAGTAATTTTTTTTTTTATCAAACCTATTTTTAGGAAGATGCATATTCTCCCAATTTTATAAAATACAGCATTTGCTGAAAACTGTGTGATAGACTCTTGGTCTAGTATGCTTCGGACCTTCTTATGGGGCAAATTAGAAATCTACTTGTTCGATTGAAGTGAGTGTTTCTCTCAGACTATGGGATACGTTTGGGGACCACCACAAAGACAGGCGCTTTGCTTATGGAAGGTAAATTGATCCAAGCAAAATTTTAAGTAATACTTGTAGTAAAATTTTAGAGGAGAAAACAATTGCAAATCTTAATTTTGAAAAGCAGGGACTTAAAAACAATCAAGGGTATTCATATTCCTTCCTACTGCAAAGAGGATTATCTGCTGCAAGGATTAAAAAGATATAAATATTTAAAAAGCAGCATAGTTTTACTATGCTACATTTCCTTGAATAGCCTGCTAAGCGCTGTCAACAACTGTTGTCCTATTTTGAATTTTAAAGAACATTCCCCAAAATGAGATTGTAGTTTTGCAAAATTGAACATCAGCATTCCCTGCCTGTGTAAGCAGTGTATGATATAATTGCCTAACAAGCAACTAACCAGGAGAGATGTTGGGAAACATCAGTCTTACTCAATGAAATATTTTATTAAAACCTGTGGTGTTGAATGGGCAGCTAACCTCTTCAGAGCATAGCCAATTTCATGAAAGGTGAGGCTCTTCTATATTTTCTTAATGAAAGCTGAGGAAAGGAAAGGTTTTTCTCTATAAATATCGAGTGTCTGCTAGTGAATCAATTAATCCTGAAATTTAAAAAAAAAAAAATTATGTAATCTAAATTTTTCCAGCATGTATGATATAACTTAAGCGTAGTTTCAACAAGGACTGAAGCCAGTGATAGTCTTTCTGGTTTTTTTAATGGTAATTAGATCTGGCCTTGTGGCAGTACAGATAGCAGAACAGCTGAGGAACAGCCATTTGAATACACATATAACAAGAACAGGCTACCTGTATTGGGCAAATACTGAGCTGAAGATGGATTTTGGACAGATATTTTCATAACCAACATTTGAGCGAGGTCTCAATCCTCACACATTTTTTCACCTTCTTGAAGTTTTTCATATCTTTTTCATATCTGCTTCAGTCACTGCAGATGATCAAATTTTCATAGATACTTTTTTTTTTTTTCCAGCTGGGAACCCCCTTTGTAGGGTGTCTGTCCCAGCCTTTGAATTCCATGTTGCCAAAATGTACTGTCTTAGTCTTTTCCTTCTCTCTGTAATACCTGATGAAACAAGTGACTTTGAAGGATGACAGTCTTTTCTATTCTCTACCCCTTCGAACTGCTGGAGAGGGTTCTGTTGGTTGAATCCACCAGTTAAATTTTCACATTGTAAAACTCCGTATGGCAGTTTGTACAAACCTTCCTTTGTATATAGCACTGTGTTAGTTGTGTTTTCAGAGAGTCATGAATTACCTTGAATTTTGTGTCAGGAGCTAAAGTATCAACACATCTGGGCTGCACACAACCTGTACCATTTATAAATAAGCTTTGTGAGTGAGGGAAGCTACTGACTTTAAAGTAACAGTGACCTTAATATTCAGTGCCATTTGAGTATGTGAGTAGATAATTGTTTTACCTTTTGGCAGCATATGGAACCTACTTTGATAAATATGGATGTAACTTAACGTTTCCACTAATTGTTCCTCTTTGATGTGGCCTTCTGATATTCTGCAACAGATACTGTGTCACTGAGAAGATTACTAGAGATTAGGAGAACAAAATCAGGCATGTTCTGAACTCTGATCCCGCGTTTACTGACAGGACAGGAGAGGGGGGAAACAACATACTTAGATTCTAATCCTGCAAACACCAAGGAGGACGTGAATAACTTGAGATCTCGTGGGATTAAGCACATGAACACAGTGATTCATTTGTGATGTTTGTAGAACTGAACCCATGTAGAATCAGGTTTGCTATACCCTGATTAACTTAAACAGGCTGTTCTGGAAACTTGCTGTTCTGTTAGTGGTTTTTCTGCAAGTCTGTTAATGCAGAAAGTAACTGGAAACTAAAGAAACTATTTTATAAGTAGAATTTCAGTTGTAAAATTTCCTGATTGTAAGCACTGATTAGGTACTTCATTGTTTTGAAAGGTATTAATATTTCATTTAAAACCAACTGCTTAATATTTTATCTATCTTAGCATTTTAGAAAGAGATTTCCACTATTGAATGTTCACATTTCTAGGAATTGATTTTAAATCACCTCTCTACGTTGAACTACAGTCTACTCATAACTGAGCCAAATCTTGCAGTACAGTGAAAGGTGTATTTTATGCCAAACTGCTCAAGTCTACACCTACAAGTGCCCCATGTTTCTAATTGTGTGAAGGATCGTATAGTAATATAACCCTTTGGTTTACTTCAAATTTTTTTATGCATATGCCCCTCGTGCAGGGGAAGGCTTATTTCAGCCAAATGCTCAGACAAGACCTCTAATTGTCCTAAATGTGGTGTAACAAGAACCAGCAGGTCACTAATTCACCTGCTGCTCATTGGAAAAGATTGTTCCATACAGTTTTACAAAATGTTACATAAATGGATTATGCTATAGGTGACAGGGTAAACAGTTAATAGGACTTGCAGCAAAGATAAATCCTACTTAATTCTTTATTTTTCACAGATAGAAACGTGAAAGGAGAATGACAAAAGGAATGTGTTTTCCACTATTTTTTTGTGACAGAAAGAGAGAAATGTTTTTGAATGCCACTGAGGATGGAATAGTTAATGTTTCTACTGCCATCCTTTAAAATGGGAGTAGGGAGAGCAAGATCCAGCTTGCATTCTACTGTATGGTGTTTAGTATAATAATCGCAATCCTCCGGGAGCTTTAGGAAACAGTTCCTGACAGCTTAAGGGAGGGGGATGTGGCTGGAGAGACTTGTGGAAGTATTTGCTGCAGTTTTATAGCATGACTTTTTTTTTTTCCCTTAAACTAGAGTGTGCTTTTTTTTGCAAGTATCCTGTTCAGTTCATCTGAGACACTATGTGATGCCAAAGAGTTATTTGTTAGTATTGTCCCACAGGATTTCATCTTATGCAAAATCACTCCAAAATGTTGTAAAATGACAATGCCTTTGTCATATTGACATATTGTCATTATGATTAGCATATTGATTTCCAGCTCCTAGTCACCTCTTTGTTTAATAACAATCTAGTCTCAGTGCTGTTGTATCCTCTAAGCCTGCAAACAAGGTGGGAACTTCATATAAAGCTCAAGTTGTTACTATGTACCAGTTTTCCTGGGAGGCACAAAATTGCATGTGGAAAGACATGAAAACATCTTATTTTACATTTCAACTTGTGAGGATTCACTCTCCTCCGTCCTCCTGTTCAGTCTGGTTTTTAATGAAAGTGTCAACATATCATCATGTTCAGACTAATTCTAAAAGCAAAATGGGAAAAAGACTGGCTTCCACTTTTTTTCTCCTTTTACATCCTTTTCTTTTTTGTTTTTTTTAGGTAAACATGTTTGACTACAATTTGATTAATATCCTATGTATCCTGGGTTTTTTATACATGCAGTTCTAGTATGTGTAAACATGGGCACAAACCTGCAAAGAGTTAATTCAGTCCCAATCAAATATTTATTCTCAATACCACGGATGTGGTTTGTCAGCTAATTCAGCCAGGATGATTTATTTACTTGCAACTTCAATATGAGCTGTAGACCAAACAAAATCTGTTCATACAGCATGGACAGAAAACAGCTTTTTCCTCGTGACTTACAAATGTAAATGAGCCTTGCTGTGAGACTGCTGACAGAGCCTCTTAAAATATGTTTAGAGTATTTCCTCTGTTGTGAATGGATTTCATAAGCCTTGTGGGTATTGTAGGTACACAGAGGAACACATGCATTCGTCTTTTCCTGAGTGATTACAATTCCCTTAACCAGTTACTTCAGTGTAATTGAATGCACAGAAATACACCTTCTGAACACTGCTGAAAAGGGTCTGTGAGAATAGGGGTTTATCACTGATACTTGAAGACTTTCACCAATACCAATATCTTTACGGTTGTTTTGCTTTCTGTTTTTCTTAAAGGACAGTGATGATGATATTTCTTTAAAAACAAAACTCAGGTAACTTTCATGTAAAATGTCATTTGCATTCAGCAACTTCAGTGAGATTAGGGTAAGGTGGGTTGGAGGGGCTCATCAGAGATGTATCTTCACAGCAGTAGCACTTAACAGACACAAGACAGTCTTTTGCTTTGTTAGCAAAGGGTCACCTGATATGGAATCCAGTTGTTTTCAGATGCCTCTCACCTTGGCTGCTTCCTTTTGCTGTGTTTTGCTGCCACAAAAAGTGATATGTAGTATCTTCAACTCTTCTTCAAATACCAAATTTTGTGAGCCTCCCCATCTATTTTACAGTGATTTATAAGCTATTCAGGTTCCTCATCAAGCAATTTTTTTTTTATTTGTTATTATTTTTTTTCTCTTGGATCTCCCAAGAAAGACTAGAATAAGTAAAGAGGTTCACAGAAAGATAGCTTTCTCAAGTACTTTTATTCTGCTATGGTATGTGTATGCACTATTTTCTTCTTTCATTATCTACATTAACATTTGAGGCTTTTTCACTCAGTTGACGGAAAAGTGTATGCTTTATATACTTAAATCAGGGAAATTAATGCAGATGTACTGCTTTTCTTTGCATTCCACCATGGTTCCATATTGTGAGTAGAAAGAGGTTGCTATGGAATTGCTCCTTTAAAAAGGTATGTGCCAAATGACAGTTGGGGTCTGAGGCTCAACTTGATGTATATGTAATGTGTCTATTATAGAGAGACACCTGTAATGCTTTAAGCCTTCCTTGACTGGAGTGAAAAAGTATGCATCAAATGTTATTTGTGGTATTACATAATTTTCCATTTTTCCTTGCTCTCCTAAGTCAGTGGCTGTGGAAGGAGGGTGTTTGGGCTCTGTCCTAAAAGACTGCAAGGCAACATCAAAATCTTTTGGAAATGCTAAACCTGGGAAGTGACTTTCCATCAAACCCTTGATCTTAGTGAATTATTTCTTTGTGGTGGGTTTTTTTGAGCTGTTTTTCTACTCCAGGGGTCTCAGGATCTCAGTCTGGATTTCCTCATACACATGTCAGAATATGGAAACCACTCTGTACAACCAGGTATAACTGTTTTAAACTGAGTTCTTATTGGTAACTTTGTGACATC